GTCCTTATTTTTTGATTTAGTCGATGACTGGCACTTTTTCAGTCATCTCTTTTGAATTATGTTCTAATCGATGATTTATAAGATACTTTGCTTAAAACTAGAGAATATTGAACTATAATCTTTAGTTGCGGTTGGAACAACTTTTTTTCTCGTAGTCTCAGTCCCGTTCGGTCTCAGCAACTTCTCATTCTGGTGGTCCAGGTCTAGGCCTATACTCACATCCACACCCTTTTTCTTATGATCTCAGTGACCGAAACTGGAGCTACAGTTGGTCTCGCACATCTCTAGTTGAGATTATGTGCATTATGTGGATTTAAATGAGCTATGAATACTCTGAAAGGAGCTCGTGTCCTTAGCTTATTGCTGTGAAGATTCTGCACTTTTTAAATGAATGCTGTGATCCTTAAGAAAAAAAATTCATTTTCAAATTTCGATTTGTAATTTTGTATAGAAACAGGTCTTAACTAGAATAGATTATTGTGAAAGTTACAGATCTTGCCACTGTTACTATTCTAAGATAGAACTATGATAATAGTATGTCTTTTACGTCACTCGTATAAATGAGCAGATTTAATGTTCTTATTTTAGTATAGAAGTCAATCAAAAGGCCTGAAACTTTCACAATAAACTTCTCTTGTTTAAGTCTGTCTCTATGCGAAATTTCAAGTTGAAATTTAAAAACGAGTTTTTCTGAGAGGGATTATGAGATTGATTTAGGAAGTGTAGTAGCTCCGCAGCAATAAGCTACAGGCACAAACTTTTTTCAAGATATACATAGCTCATTTGGTTCTATATAATCTTAACTTAAAAGCAATTTATCAGTCAGAGTACTTTTCTCGTAAAATTCTTTTTATTTATAACAAAATTTATTTTATTTTATTTTATTTTTCAATAGCTGCTCGTGCTGGTGGAGCGAAGAAAGGTAAACAAACAACAAGTCGTAGTAAAGCAAAAGCAAAACAATGTAAGATTTAATTTTTAAAGAAATAAAAAAAAACAAATATTATGATAATTCATTTTGATTTTTAGCTGATGATAATGACGATGATGATTTAAAAGAAAATGATGGCGACGATGATGATGATGAAAATGTATTTAAACGACCAATGAGAAAAGAACCAAAAGTGCAAACAATAAGTCGATCAAAACGTGGTGCGGACGCGTAACTGCACGTAAAAAAGCAGCTGTAGTAGCGAGTGATGATGAAGATGATGATTAACTTATTTTTTTTTGTTTTTTCTTGTATTATATTAAATTGTATATTTTGATTTGGTTATTTACTTTTTCTTTTGATGTTATTCTTTCTCTTTCTTCTTCTCTTAATATCCATTATTAGAAGATTTTGTTATGCATAATACTTTCATTTATTTTGTGCTTCATTGTGAAAAAAAAATTATAAACGGTTTTGTTTCTGTCTGAATATTACAAATAAAAGATCTGTTAATGAAACAATTTTTTTTTTTGAAAAGGTTAATATTAATTAAAAATCATTGATATTTTTCTAACAGCAAGAAAATATTTTATCTTGATAAGAAAAAAAGAAACGTTTAATCGTTGATCGCACTACAATTTTGTATGAAGATCTTGACAGAAAAACAAATGAAAGAATTTATTTTCTATGATCCTTGTCATCCAATGGAAAAGAAAGATCTAGTTATATATGGAAAGTAATCAAATATTCGTACACAAAAATAGAATATAAACAAGTTGTATCGTAGGGTTTGTATACAGTACGGCAATAAAACAAGTAACGCGTCGGCTCTTTGAGCCTCGCTCAGCTCAACTCAATCCTGAAAGCTTGGGACTATGGTGTAGAGCATTGAGTATTCTATAACTAAACATATATTTCTAAATGAATCTGAAATAAAACCAAGTAATTTATTTTGCGAACGGAATTGCCAATAAGTATTAGAGTAAATTTTCTTTACAATAACATAAAGTTTAAAATTCGTTTGTATTTAATATGTATTAATTATATGCTATTATTGGATACTCATGTTGGAAAGCATTTCAAAAAATTCTTTAGTTAAAAATGCTTGATGATACAAATATTTGTCACAAAACTTATCCAAGAAGAAAAACATTGATAAGACTTTCTCGAATAATCTAATTCATAGGTATCTAAATGTTGTACTCATACTTGTCTACAAAGAAACTACAGATTTTTTAAATTTCTTTTTCAATATTGAGTTGTATTAAACAAATGGTAGAAAAAAACAAATATTTACAATTATAAAGAAAACAATGACAAAAGAACCTGTTCGATTATACTTTATTCATTAAATCTTTGATTGTTTGTTATTCTTCCGACAGACCTGATGTTATCAATATTGGTAGTGAGTGTTGGTTCTTTTAGAGCAACCTCACTCTTACATAGAACATATCGTCGAAATGATTCATGGAATGCAAGAAGAGTGTGGGTGTGAGTGTAGGTGGAGGTGTGAGTGTCGGTTTGACTAAAGAAACAAGTACCTATACACCCCCACCCATCTTTTGAACAGTCGAATATCTCAACAGAAGACACGTGACTTCGTCAACTTTCTCTGTCAAAGTTATAACTTTGTCGACCGGTGTAACTTCGATACGACATATATATATGTAGATGAGCGTGAAATAGCCAAAAAATCTATCGTTTCTTTATTCTACAAAATGGGCAGAAACATAGAAAAGAGAAAGTACATTTAACATCTTTCGAGTCAAAATTTCACGCTACAAGCCAATAGAAGCGAGAATGTATAGTGGACAGCGTCATTTATATCAGATTCAGAAGAAAGCGATAGAGCATAGTGGTGATCAAAATGAATTATATCTGAATAACAAATCACTCATCGTTATGCGACTCACAGTGGTCGAAAACCCTCATGCACAAACAATGAAAAGACTCTTCTCTCTCGAAAAAATCATATTTTTGACACGTTACAGACACCCAGTGTAACAAGAATAAGCTTTGAACGATACTTGAGAAAAAGTTCGAGCTTGCGTAGATTAAAAGAGCAGACTCTGCACTATCGAATGATCACCTTGGAATTGAAAATCTATTTGAAAACGTTTTTCTTCGGTAGGGCATAAAATCTTCAACGGTAATCAACAACCTTAGTTATTCACTAATCTATTGAATATAGTATACATTTGACCCCGAAAGGCCACTCTTTCTAATGCTGAAAAGATGAGATTGCTAGCTAGATCCGTTCGCGAGATATTACTCCTACAGTTTTCTCCATCTATTTCTGGCATCGACATTAGAATAGTTAACAATAATATGGACTTTGGACAATATAGAATTACAAGCAATGTAGATTGCATCTCTTATTCCCGCAAGGGGGCCTATAATTATGGCACAGCAACTTTTCAGTATTTTGAACTTTTCTCTCCAAACAGCAAGTGGCAAAACTGAGAGACAATGATACTGTGCAGTGCTTAGATGCTAGTATGCACATACACTATTAGTAGATCTATAGTACATATTCTGGAAATGAAAGGAAGATTTTTCTTTGTATATGTGAGGGGGCCTATAATTTTGGGAACCCTGTAATTCTCTGCATCATTTCAGAGTTTGTCACTAATAGTCTAAAATAAATTTCACTAGTTAATACTGCTATCATTAATTGAGTATATATGTAGATATGTCTGTAAATATTTGAACTGTGTCAAATTTAGGAAAAAACTTTTCAAATGAGCTTTTATTAAAGAAATATTTTCTGTTGTTTTTTTATTTCAATATCATCAAAATAATACTTTTTTTTCTAAGATAGAACTGATCTGTGAACGAATCTTTTTCTATTGTATTTCTAGCTTTAAATATATTCTGTTTTATTAGAAAAAAAATTGTTTTGGCTTGAACTTGTGATGATTTCGAGACTAAAATCTTTGTATGGTTTTTAGAAAATTATATTTTCATATGACAAATCATAAATTAGATTTATGCACTGTATGATGATAAATATTGCAAAAATAGTATTTAGTCAAAAAGACTCAGTTGCTTTTACTTTCATTGATTGGATAGAAATGAAACTATAAGGAAATAATGATTCTCGACTATTCGATATTGAAATTACCATTAGTAGTAAATTTTTTTGTTAATGTTCAATTAAGAGTATTGATAAAATCAACCATCATTACATCAATGTTGACTGACTGGACTGTTACCTTTAGAATATATCAGCATCTAACTTTTCAAAATTACAACAGAATATGTATTCATTTGTTTTTATATAGATTTCAAATCCTATTCCATGAAATCACAGTCTTACAATTATGTGAAACAAAAACTTCTACAGTTATCAAATGAACACTACGCAGATGAATTGATAGCTAAAGACGACATTGTATACTGACTGATCTGGTTTTAAAAGATTCTAATAATTTAATATACAGGATGTTTCATAGGCCTGGTCGAAAAAGAAACGTGAATATTCTTTTAACAGAAAATCTTGATAAAGTAATGTCGCGACAATATTATCAATGAAAAAAATTATTTTACTATGCGTAAAGCTCTTTTTTTGAGTCCACAAGTATGATTATGCGACATAACCTCCATATTATTTCACAAAGATGAAGTTTCTCGTCATTTAAATCGCAAAATCTGTCAATTTCTGGAGAACATTTCTCCATTACAAGTGCAATAGAAGAGGCAATTCATATCAATGAGCATTACACTCAGCTGAGCTAACGTGATTCAACGTTTTTTATATCAAAAAAATTTCAAACTAAATTTTATCTGATGTTTTTTACAGATAGTTTCAAAAATGATAGAGTTATGTATAAGCGATCTATTAAAGATAAATTTATGTGAAATAAAACTTCGATGGATATGAAATGATACTATAAAAAAAGCCTTACGTTAATCGCTTGGACCATTCATGAGATATTCATATTTCTTTTTCGATCGGACTTTTTGAACATCCTATATTATACAAGTACAACCAATATTAATATTTTCCAAAAAAAAAAACAACAAAATAAAATCTAAAAACGCGCATTGTTAAATCGATTCTTCTTTCATGTCTACTGTTAAATTTAATTCATTCTTTGATAGTAATACACTTCGTCGTCTATCAGTTCGTTTAATTTTAATTGGTTTTGCTATGTTTATGATGTGTTCAATAATGTGTGTAACACAAAATTATTATGTATTAACATATTGTTGTGGTATATTAGCAATAACAATTGAAGGTAGTATAAGTCTTTATTATCAATTTCGTGATGAATGGAAAGAATTTAAATGGTTTTCACCATCAATTATTTTATTTATTGTAACATGTGTACCAACATTAAAAATATTAAAACAACATCAATTACATGTTAGTCAAATATTTAAACAAACAAATATTGAATTATTACTTAAACGTAATATAACATATTGTTTTAATATTACTTTTGAATCAAAATTAATTGGTTATAATAAAAAGAAAATTCCATTATATATATTTAAATGTTCAAAAGATGAATTAATTTTTTTTAATAAAGATAATTTTCAATTAATGTGTTCATTATTAACTAAAATACAATATCGTCAATGTCAATCATCTAAACGTTGTCGAACTGATCCAAGTTTAATTATATTATGGTCATTTATGAAAAATTCATGTACACGTTGGAGAGAATTAATTAATCGTTTTACATTAATTGGTATATTAAGTGATGAATTAGCTGGTTTTATGCTTATTGAACAATTACTTTTACTTGTATTAGTTATTGTTAATTGGATATGGCCACAAACAGAAAATTCCGAAGAAATTTTTTTTGCTCAAATGTTACGTCAATATTTAGCTGCTGCACCTGATATTGTAGAATTTTATGGAAATTTTCATCAAGGTGAAAATTTAAATAAATTACAAGATCGAAATAATTTACAAACAATTATTTTTATTATATTTATTATGTCAACATTTCAATTTAGTATGAATTTACAAATGAAAATAAAACCAACAAGAAATTTACATAGAAAAAAATTTTCTCAATTAAATTTAAAAAATAAATCTTTAGTTTTATTTGAATTAATTTTTTCTACATCAATGTGGTCAGTTATTTATATAACAATAACACAAGATCTACCATTTTTAATAATACGTTGGTATTTTCTTACATTTATGTCAGATAGTTCCAGTAAAATGGTTTTCTTTTTAATGAAAAATGCTTTAACTATAATGATATCATTTCATTCTGGTTTTAATGATATTATTGAATTTAAAGAAAATATTCAAAAAAAAAGAAATAAAAATAATTAAAGATAAAGTTTTTTTTTGTATTTGTATAAGTGTTAAGTTCACATAGATTGGTTATATATGTTACAGAAGAAATTAAAATTTTAATCTTTCTCTAGAATCGTATTTTTTTTTTATTAAAAAAGATTGTAAAATGAAAAAAAGAAAGTTCAGCACTCTTCACTTTAAAAAAAACTTGCTCTCGCTCACACGCACATCCAATGCCATTTTGAAAGATAATATAATAATTTTCATGGTAATAAAACGTTTGTTAATACAAATAATGGTGTATGTATTGGTGCTAGAACAATTTAAAAAATCTCTATAGGAGAATTTCCGAGGAGATAACAACTGATTTCAGTTAGCTAAAAATCAAAATTAAATCATTTAAAATCAGCGATCATAATTCAAAAAATAATTTTTTACTACCTTGAAATAGAACCAAACTTGATATTTTTATTCGAGTAATATTTAACAGTTTTCAATATGACTAATATTCCATCGACTGTTTGTAAAGAAAAAAGAGGATTCGATGTCCAAAATAAAAGAGAATTTTGTTGTTTGCGGACGAAAAGTACTAACAAATATCTCCATTTATGAAGAACTCGTCGAGGCAGTATAACAAAGTAGCAAAAGTCAACTTCGGATCCATTTAGTTTCGTACTCATTCCTTACAATTCTGAAAATTTCTCAGTTTTATTGGATTTTCGTTAATTTTGCTAATTTTTCCAACTTATCAAAGAACTTTTGCTTTGTCTACATCTCTGAATACTTGAGAATACTAAACGACCATAAAAATCTGCATTTTCCATGTATTTCTGAGTTTTGTGAATTGTATCGATATTTCGTAGATTTTTTTCGGATTTTATTCTATTTCGATGAACTTCACTCGTTTTTCTGATGTGTGAAAAGGTCTCAAATGTTTTCTATATTTGTGTGTGCCTGGAAATCGTCAAGCCGAAAACTTAAAGTCAGTACTGTTCACATAGAGGAAACCTCCATATTTCGGACATCTCGGTATTCTAGTCTCTGTGCACTTGTTTTCAGCTGTCGACAACAATGGAGAACCTTTTCGTAAGTGAACAGTACCTTACATTGATGGCATCTTTTCCGTAATTTATCACAATTCGAAAGAATCTTGAGTTCAGATATCTAGTAAAAAGTCTTGGACGGCAAAATCAATTTTTCATGCTGAAGATCAGTATTTCTCTTCGGGAATTTTTCATTTTCCAGGTTTGTAACCTATGCGTTTTCTGTTGTCAAGACTTTTTTTGAATTTTAAGAACTAATCATTTTTTTCTTGAATCAACCTGTACACGTAATTGAACAGTGCATAGATTAGTATGCGGCATACCTTGCAGGACAAACGGAATTGAGAAAAGATAGATCAGGAAGCGTGACCGAAAGAATTGAACACACATTCATATATCTACTTATGAAGCATCAAGAATTGACAATTTCTCGTGAGAAAACTCGAGTCGGGGATGACTCACACGCATATTGACTAGAAAGTGTTCAAATAGTGTTTTCAGTAGTTATTTCGAAACGAATCCCCAAAACTGAAAGAGGTTCTAATAAATAATATGCGAAGTTGACCTAGGCAAAGTGCTATGTAACATAACCTCAATAAAGGAAACTTGATATACTTTAGTAATAATAACGAAAAATTGACAACATTTCAAAAGTCGTTACTTCTGCTTAGTAAACATTTTCAAAACGTCTCTTGGTTATTTGCCACGACATAATAAAAGTAGGAAGCATATGTATGTTTACAAAGATATATCGAACTATGAACGACCAGATGAAGTAATAAAAACGAACCTTTTCATCAATCAGTACTATTTCTGTGAAAAAAAGAGGAAAATGAGGCGAAGTGGGAGGTCATGGGTGTTCTATTCTTGATCTCAATGATAAGATGATATCTTTCGAAGAAGTAAATCATTTAATATACAAGAAATTAGCAAGATCAAGATGTGGCACTTCTAACAAAAAAACTTATTGAAATGAATAATGATGAAGAAGAAAATGAAGACAATTAACAACATCAATCTAACGAGCAGTCTAGTAAAAATGACAGTATGGATGAATATAATGAATTTGATCTTGACATTATTCCAGATGTGTCTAGTTCTACGATTCACGGAATGCATATATTTGATTCTATCGATAATTGTCAATGTGAATCCTTCTTTCTCATCGAAACAAGATGATCATAGAAAGAATTACACACGCAAATAGACCAACAATTTGTATTCTTCAAAAACTCAATCTATTTTGTCTTCTGATCGATTAAATAGGGTTCAAGAGAAAAGATTATTTTTTCTATATATTCTGTCTTCCATCTATTATATTTTTCTTATAAGGAAAAATGAATAATATATCTGTCTATTCTTATGTTTCAGATAATGAAATAATAAAGAATTTTGTATCAAATTTCGTTCGAACTTGATCTCATCAATAATTTATCTCATACTTATGGTCGATAAAATATTACAAATTTAGAGAATTCAACGTATTCCTTTCAAACAAGCAATTATTTTTAGCTGTATAGAGATCGAGTCACTCCTAGTTTTTTTGGAATATTCTCTAGTTATTCATTGTACAATGATTTATCACAAAAGATAGGCATCGCAATATCGATATTAAAACGAACTCATCAGAGTGAAAATAATGTGAACTTGAAGAAAATTAAAAAAAAATATTCTAAATTTACATGAAGACTACATTCAGTGTATAGCATTGTTCCTTCATCTGACTGCTCGAATCATCAAGCCAGCTGTGCTCGCGTTTTTTTCTTTTATATCCATTTGTCGTACTACTATTATGAGAATGAAAAGTCACATTTTCTTTTTTTTATTTCATTCTTCGCTTGTCTTTTACAGGATAGAAATACAAGAACGAAATGCAATTTTATCTTTTTTTACTATTTTTCTTTTTTCATTATCAATTTACTTTTATTACAATTGCTTATTCTATTAATGATTACAACGATTTTAATCAAAATTATTCTTCAATTAACATTGATCTTTATCAATGTGATACTAATAATAGAAAACTCATTAGTACAACAACTACTATTGGCACAATATTTAATAACTTAGAAAATTCATGTACCAGCAGTTGTTGTATACTGAATAGTATGAATAAAACAAGCATATATAGGAAAAGCATCCGTAAAATATCATTTCATTTTGTTTCTTTAGATTCTTCAAATACATGTCAAGTAACTGTACGATCTTCCACAAATATTTGTCTTGGTCATCTCTGTTATTCTGGTGAATGTGATCATTTTGTATTATTGACCAACTTAACTGATGAGAACGAAGTGAAGGATAGTACAACAATTATGAATACATTTCGTTCGCCATTATCTTATATTCCTTGGTCTTCATTATTCAATAAAACACAAACAAAATGGTCTTCATGGATAGATGAAAGTGGTTTATCAATACGTCATACTATTTTAATTATTTTATTCATTGCAAATATCTCTTTAACATTTATGACATTAATTGTAATAATTAAATCAATTCGACATGCAAGCGCAATAGCTAATAGAAAATCATATCGTTATACACTACTATGATCTCTAGATATTGTTGTTGTTTTTTTTTTTTATAAAGATTTTATCTTGAAGAAAACTGCATTAAATTTTAAAAAAAAGTACTCATTAAAAAGATACAACAGTCAATTTTTTTCCATCACGTGCATCGATTAATTTACCATAATATTCATTTGTTATTGCTTGTAAACATTTTAAAATATTTTTAGGTGCAACATCGATTGTTAATGAAGCTTTATCTATGTCCATTTCTGTTTTAACCCAAAATACTAGAGTGGCAGCGGCAGCTGTTTTTAAAGAGAGATTGTAAAATTGTATGGATTTGTATATCATTTGAGTGTCTACAAGTTCAGCAGTCAGATTATGGTGAATCGAATGGATTCAATCTAATTGTGTCAATGTGGCACAGTGACGGAAGAGATTTTTTTTTGAAGAATTGTTCGAGACTCGTTGCGGCAACGGTAATGAACATCTCTGATGGATATATGTGTATTAATCGATATGTTTCCATTATATCTTTTTCATTAATACAAAAAAACGTTTAATTTTATTGCTATGTCTGTATTATTAATTAAACAATTCAGATCTTTTCCATTTAATATTTCTTGCGCTTTATCAACTGATTCTCGAACATTTGTATCATCGGTAATGTTTTTTAATGTAGACAGAACGAAATTTTATTTTTATATCATCTTCAGAAAATTGACTAACCAAGTTGAAGTAGTATAATTGTTGTTGAATATTCTTTGGCTAAAGATCGATCGATCAATTTGACGATGAGTAGCAAAGATATGATAGACTTTAGATGTCAAAAATTGTCTAACTAATTCATAACCGCTGTCTCGGTTAGCTCCAGTAATCACAACACTTTTAATCTCGAGAATCTATGTTCTAAAACAAAAAATTGGCCCTCGTTTCTAATAAAACAAAGTCTATATATATTTTTTTATTTATTATTATATGAAATTACATTTTACACAAGAAAAAAAATATTCTTGCGACAATTTTGTAATATATGAAGTTATTTATTCAAAATGGAAGTATATTACATTTACTACCATTCGTAGAATCAATTAATTTTCCATAATGTTCATTTTTCATAGCAGTTATACAATCAATAATATTTTTCGATGCTTGGTCAATACTCAATGGTGCTCTTCTACCACCCAAATCAGTTCGTACCCATCCAGGATGAAGTAAAGCAATAAAAATATTTGATTTAGCCAATTCTGTTGCATGACATACAGTATACATATTCAATGCTGCTTTTGAACATTGATAATCATAAGCAAAATATGATTGAGTTGAAGCCATTGCCATTGAAGACAGATTTGTTGATATATTAATAATACTAGCTTGAAGAACATTTCGTTCATCAGTAACTACTTTTTCTACGAGAGGTAAAAATGCCTAAATATGAAAAAGAAAACAAAGCATTGATGTAAACTTATATATAGAAGAAAAAAAAAATACACAAACACCTTTGTTACTCGCCATGCTCCAAGAACATTATGTCTGTATGCATCAAACATATTTTTTTCGTTAATATCATTGAATTTGATATTCTTACCTACACCGGCATTATTTATTAAACAATTAAGACCTCGATCATTTCCTAATTTCTTTTCGACTTCAATTTTTGCCTTATTAACACTTTCATCATTACTGACATCTAAAAGAAAATATGTTAATATCAATGTAGGTTGTTTTTTTTCTTCATCATGTAAATAAGAACAAACAGACCAATTTGAATTGGAATAATTATATTCGAATGTTGTTTTGCTAAATCTAATAATTCCTATGATGATTTTTAAAAAAAATACATGTTTGATAGAAATATTAAATTTTACAACAATTACTTGAGATCTATTAACATCACGATAACCAGCAAAAATAAGTTCAGGATTTGGTGAATTTGAAATAAGATGCTTCACAATACCAAAACCGATACCTCGATTGGTGCCTGTAATTAAAATATTCTTTATCATAGTTTGCTAATACTAAAAGATAGAAATGCAATAGAAACAATTATGTTAAAAGTTTTCTTTTCTAAATTAACTGTTCTCTATAGAGACAACAAAGAAAACTTGAAGAAAAAGTAACATGCATGGCATCTTATGAACAGATAAAATAGAATAGATTATTGAGAATCGACTCAAATAATATACATCGATTCTTTCAGTGCTCGTATTATTTAATGTATCAATAAAATGTGGCAATACAATCCTTTCAATTGTCGGTCACTAACATTTCTCCTCATCCTTTCATGTACTAGTAGAAGAGTAGTAGATACATATATATATATATAAATATTAACGAAAAGCTAAACATACTATTCGAATTTACCCATTCATAAGAGCAAGAAGAAATCAATCAATCACTCTGCTGTAAAAACCATGTCTTTGATATGCATATTTGTTGAAAATAAGATGTAAACTTTTCATAGACATTTGGTATCATCATCAGATACACATAAGAAACGAAAACTACAAGGACTCATCAGGCAGGTGTGACATATATTCTTTCAGAAAGATGGATGAATCGTGGCAAATGAGCATCAATTGACACAGCTAACTGCAAAGAAAAAAAAATAATGCCTGCACTGTGTCTACTAAGGCTTGAGAAAAACAGTTAGATACAATTTGCTAAACTGAACAGATGTCACGCTTATTTTATAAGTTATTGTAATTTTTGTTTCATATATCATTATTGTGTCTAATGATGGTACACATCTTTTCTGTAACAAAATATCTATATTGAAGATATGGTTTTTACGGCAATAATTTATTTTTTTTTTGCTTCCAGTTAGTCCATTGAAGTTATAATCATACGAGTAAAAAAACAACAAGTAATCCTTATATATTGCTTTGCTTCATCTAAATAAAATACAAGTAGAACAAAGTCAAACATTAAAAAAACTCGGATCTCAAAATTGTTGTTTACAATTAAACTTTGATTATTGACACATATATATATGAGAGAATCTCTTCAAGTTCATTGCCAATCGATGCTAGAAAAAAAAAGATTTTGTTCATCTAGAAAAAACAAATAAAAATAATAAAGTTTGTATTTCATAAAGTTATGTACGAGCACAAGAAACTAAATAAATGCAAGTTCTGTGTCAATAACAAATATATTTTGATAAACATAAATAAGTAAAATATCCACGAATTCCAATGTGAATTACATTATAATGGTCTTTTATTTACTATTGATAATGGAGAATATTAACCAAATTAATAAAACAAAGAAAATCTACTTGGATTAACATGTATATATTAGATTGTTACGTTTGGATTCAACTTGAAAATTGATATTCTTTTAATAAACATCATATCAGAAAATAAAATACTAAATTAAAAAGAATAATATTAATTTACTTAATTCAAAAAATCAATTTAAACAAAAGAATAGATTCTCTTTAGTGTGGCATCAAAATCTTCTTGTTTTAGAAATTTTTAGTAAATCTTTTGTCAATGAGACACTACTTAATAAAAGAAGATTTAAACTTATACTCGAAAATATTATGATAAATTATATAGTTCACATGTTGTTCATCTTCATTAAATAAATAAGTAAATATATATATATATCTAAGTTTTTCTTTGCATATTATTATATTTATGGTCAGAATGATATAAGTGTGTAAGAGATAACCAAAATCAATATACTGAGTATTACACGATCAACTAGGGAAAATAACAAATATAGACAAGTGATCACAATCAATATGGACAGAAATCGAAGTTTACGTGAAAAAAAACTGTCTAATAAATATTTTAATTGACATATTATTTGAAATTTATATGATGTATATCTCTTCTTTTTCATAAAGATCAAAGAAATAAAAAAAGAAAATATATTTTAAATATCTATTAACCATAATAACAGTAGAAACAACAAATAGTAGATATTTATAAATATTATATGTATGATCATTGATCAAAACGAGTTTTGCGTTTTTCACCGCCCATATCAGGATTCATCGATGAACCAACACCAAGTTGATCAACTTTTTTAACACCAGGTGTAAAACTAATCTAAAAAAAATTTAATTCATTATAAAATATTGATGAATGAATTTATATATATATATACTTTTGTTCGTTCTCGTCGTTCTTTTTCTCTACGATCCATTTCAAGTTTTTGTGCTTTACCTAAACAAATCTTCTTATCAATTTAGTTTTATTTTAAATAAATCAAATCATTTTTACTTAATTCTTCATAATAAGATTCTTTACCCCACCAATGTGGATCATATAATTCCTAAAAAAAAAAAAAATAATCATAATTAAATATATAAACATAAAATAAAATATACTTGTGGAAAATTTGTTCCAATTTCATCAATACCCAAATGAGAAATCATTTTTTCATACATACTAAAAAAAGAAAATTCAAAAATGATAATCAAAGAAGAAAAAAAAACTATATATATATATTTCAATACCATGGATTTCGAAAATCTTTTAATTCTTGTATACGTACATTTTGATCAACACCTGTTTTTTTAAATCGTTTATAATATTCTTCAAATTTTTCCTATTCAAATATAAATAGATTATTTATTTAGGCTTTTTTCTTTTTGTATTAAAAAATTCTTTACTTGAAGTTTAGTTGAACAACTCTTAGCAGGTTCTGGTGGTATACGAATGTCAGCATCTTCAGGAAATATTAATGGATAATCTAATAAAATAAAAGATAATTAAAAATCGTTTTAAAATTATTATATACTAGGTGTTAAATCAGTACGATGTGATGGTGATGTTTCTTCTGGTTTCAGCTATGAATAATAAATAAATAATAAATCAATACTATACTAAGATTTATCATACATACAGGTGTAACATTTAAAAGATCAGATGTAACAATTGTTTGTTCAATAACTGTAGTTGTTTCAATTTGAAGTAAATCATTTTCTTCAGGAGCATGTAATATAACTGCACTATTTGAATTTGAATGATCATCTTCACCATCTTGTTCTTCATTATTATCTTCTTCTTCGTCTTCATCTGTATGTTCTTCATCACCTGAATCAGCTTCATAACTAACCAATGAAGATTTATCTAAATAAATAAAATAATACGGTCTTGTTTTTATTATGAAAAATATTTATTAATAAAAAATATAAAACGAATAATAATACAAACTCTTTGTGAAAGGAGGCTTATGTGTAGTTAAAGGTTTCTTTGTAATTGTAGTTGGAAGAGTTGTTGAATCTGGTGTTGAACTTTTTGATGGTATTGGTTCATTGATATCATCATCATCGGAATCTGATATATCTCCACTACCAATACCAATATCGAGTATAACATTTGATGTTACTGGTGCAGATGAAGATGGGGAATCATTTGGAGCTGTATCAATATCCATGGGATTATTTGTTGTTATTTCTTCATCAGACATTCTTGTAAATTTTTTCAACGATAGGAAGTCAATTAAAGTAACTGAAATTTCTTTCTTATTCTATTGCTTATGGTGCATTTCCAATGAGATATAATGAAAGTGACATCTAGGAAATTTATTTTCTGGAGGCTAATCTTAAGTAACGAGTGTAATTGTTGCATTCTGATGGTTTCTAATTCATTTATCGTTTTATCCTATGACATATATCTGTTTTAAGGAAAAAAAAGATGGCTCAACGTAAGATTTCAACAAAACGACCTCATGCTTATGAAAATTTAATAAATAGTTTCGACACAGAAAATGATGTACATGATCTAACCCTTGAAAATTTAACAAGCTTTGAATTTGATCGTTAGTAATATTAAAATTTTATTATTAATAAAAAAAAAAAAGAACAACCAAAGTTATTCTTTTTTTAAGAAAATAATGAAGAAAATCAACAAATACATAAATCAGTTGCTCGAAGTTATAGCAAGTAAATGTTATTTCATTAAACAATTCGATTTATTCTAAAATCGTTTTTTCTTTTTTTTTTGTAGTCTTATTTATGAATCACTTTCATATGATATTCGACGTCAATCTCAAGTATCATTAATTAGTGATCAATTACGTAATTTACGTCGAAAATTTAGTGATCGAACTGATGCTATTAAAGAAATTATTCATCAACCATCAGATTATGAGGATCATACAACAAGTTAGTATATCTAAAAAGATTATAGCTCAACGAGAAATCGAATTTATCTCGTATTTATTTCAACTTCGGGGGGGGGGGCAGAGAGAGCTTCGTCACTGGCTGTGAATGCAAGAAACACATCCATGCACGTACATTCAAAAGGATGAAAACTATGAAAGTCATAAAATTAAAACCGAATAAATCTAATTTCTCATGGATTCCTTACAAAAGATCTCAAATCATAAGCAGTTTAGCTTTTCCATCCAAAAAAAAACAATCATATTTATTTTTGATCAAAAAATCAAAAAGAAGAAACTTTAAATTATTTTTTTTTTGTTCTCTAAGCTGCTAGTATTACTATAAGCGAAGAAAAACAACAACAACAACAACAACAACAACAATTTCCTGATCGATCAATATTTACATCAGATAGTGAAAGTCATGCTTCAACACCTAGTTTAACTATAGAAGGCAATGGAATAAAACAACGTTTACAACGAATTATTTTTCGTTGTATACGAAAATCTGGTGTTCGAAAACCGGTTGATGCGGATAGTAAGTTAAAAATGAAATCGATTTCAATATGTTTTTTTTATTATTATAATAAGGTAATGCACATTTAATTTGGTTAACATTTGTGGCAATGGCATATTTATATAATTTTATATCAATTCCATTACGTATAGCATTTCCAATATGGAAAAATGGCAAAACATATATTTGGATATGGATGTTAATCGATTATTTATGTGATGTACTCTATTTAATCGATATATTTTTTGTTCAAACAAGAATTAAATATTTAGAAAATGGACTTTGGATTGTATGTAATCAATAAACAAAAAAAAAAAATCTTTTCAATGATTTTTTTTTTCAAATTTTATTCTAGACATCATTTCGTTTAAC